TCTTCCATCTCTTTTTTGAGAATGATGCAAAATCAACTTTATTGGAATTCCTGTGTTTGTAGCTCTCAAAAATATTTTCAAATCATATCAAAAGCTGTAAACAGAAGAATAAAAAGGTTCTTAGAGTTCTGGTAATCCAATTAATGAAGAGCATTAGTATTTAAATTTCTTGTTGATTTGGCACAAAACATTAGCATCAGTGAAGAAAATGTGAATCTCCTACCAAGCCACTAAAGATCAATGACAACACTCAAATCAAAGTACACTGGGTATTGGTCACTGCATAAGTAATCTTAAAAAGCCTTGAAATTCTACAGCTTGTATGTAAAAACATTTTGATGGAGATTTTTTCCAAATCAGAAAGCAATGCTAAAAATTTACATAAGCTGTAAAAAGAGCTCTCCCAAACTTTCAATAGAAAATTAATTTTGATGCACCGTGCTCTTCTCTCTCTACAGAACTGCTATTGCCAAATTACTGTCAGATGAAGAAGAGATCAAAAGCACTCAGCCAAACCTGGGGGGAAATATTATAAAGGGAGTTAATAGAATATTACATTACTTTCACGGATTTTGTAATGTTTATAGTATTTGTTAGTTCCTTAAAATCTGTAAATTTGTCATGCTTTGTATTGTCATTTAAAATTGTTACTTTTGTTTCCAATTTTGTATTTTTTGTTTCTTAAAAAGAACTCACAAAACTGAATTGCTTCAAGTTTACAAAACTAAGTCTTCTCTTGACAGAACATTGGTCTTTCTCAGTGCCTTGCCTTTGGGACTTTAACCTCTAACCCTGGATGAACCCCACCTAATAAATGTAGGAGGAATGATAGTGTCAGAAAACCATTCTTTCCTGCTACTCCTGAAATAAGCAATTCAGACAAGTGTCATCACTGGCATATACTGAACCGTAAGGTAGAAGGTTATTAACAAGCTATCTGCATGATGTCCAGTTATCATCTCACAGATTACTTTCCAAATGCAACGGGATGGATGTATCCTTACATACAATGAAGACTATCCTAATTGACTGAATTTAGAATTGCTAATAGAGGGACAATGAGGCATTATGTCTTTCCTCTAACGGTGCAAGTCGGTATTGCATAGCCTAATGGCATCACTACTATGAAGTACTCTTGTCAACACCTGGTTTAATTCTGAATGTAATTAAACCTTTGTGCCTACCTTCCAGCCTACAGAAATGCAGGGGGTAGAAGAAGGTGTTAAGGAACCCTACAAGTAAACAAGAAGAGAAATCTAGAAACTGGAACATCCTACAAAGCCTAGTCTCTTCGCAATTTTTCCATGAGTTCTCTCTCAATGTCATAGAAAAATAAAAAGTTAGGAGGACTGCCTTAGGAGTAAAAGGGGACAAAGAAATATAATCAAATGTGTGAACTTTAACCATATCCTAATCCTCTTACATATCCACTCCCTAACCCCCAAAAAACCCCACAACAGTTACAAAAGACATGTGAAAAAAATGGGGAGTTTTGAATATAAACTAATTACTAGGCAGTGCTGGGGAATTACTGTTAACTTTCTTCAAAGTGACAACAGTAATGCATTTATATAAAGCAATATGTTTTTAGGAGATACACGTTAGGAGTTTTGGGGTTTGGGTGAAGTTACCCTGATTTGTGCAACTTACTTTCAAATGGCAAAGAAACTTCTCTTTACCTTTGAAAATTTTTACAATTAAAAAACTGGAATAGGTAAAAAAAAATATATTAAATCTATTTTTCTCTCATTTGGTCACTCTAACCAAGAAGTTTTTAGTAGAGTCAAAGTAATTACTCTCATCAAACATTAGCAGTGAAGCAGTACCAAAGTCTAGAGGCTAATGTTTTCAGAACTGCTGTATTAAACTAAAGAATCTCCTAGGGTCCCAATGCATCGTGGCCTGCTCAATTTGTGTTTATGAGTAGCCCACGGGAATTTTTAGACTGCTAACTGCCACACCGGATGGAAAAGTCACGCAAGAACAAGGGGCAGGGGAGAGACAGAACTGAAGCAAACAAAATTTTGTTTGACTTATTTTATTGATTTTAGGAAGAAAAGGAAGTATGATTCATTTCAGGGACACTGCACACTTCCAGTGATTGATCTCATAATAAAAATGCTTAGTTAAGGACTTTATAAAAACACCCTCAGATAGACTACCTCTTTGACTCCTTAAAACTGGCTTAGGAAACAGAGAAAGCAAGTCATATTCCCAATGGACAGAGGAGGAAAATGAGGCTCACTGAGAGAGGCTGCAGCTCTGAGGTCCCACAGCTAGCCCAGATCTTTCACACAGGACCACTGTCCTCTAGCATGGTCACTGAGTGGCTGTCTCACAGAGGGTCACATTCATTTCTCTGAGCTTCACTTTGGGACTAAATAGCCTTCGGCTCATATGAGAAACTGCAGAGGTCAGAGGTAATCCTTGGCATCAGACCCCCTTTCTCCCATCAACAGGGGTAAGGAGCAAGAGCCCAGACTACAAGGAGGCTACATACTTCCCTGCTGTGCCACCTTAGAGGCAGGGACGGAGCTTCTTCAAACACAGTTACCGACCGAGCAGGGGCCCAGGATTTGCAAGGGAATGAAAAGACCATGCCTGGCGCAGCCATCACTAAAACAAGGTACAAACAAATACTGTGGGAAGCAAAAGCACTAGCGATGAGTGTGAGTACTTCACCCTGCTGGTCAAGCCCAACCCCTTGCAGTGCCTAGTGGCTGGCTGTTTGGAGTGGCTTCCCTCCATAAGAGGCTGTAACTGGGGGAAATTACTAATTCCGTGGCTTTCATAAAACACAAGAGGTCCACCAAATGTTTGCTTGGCGGGTTTTTTTTTTTTTCTCTCCCCAGAGGGCAGCTCATTAAGTCTGACAATAAAGCGGACTTTGTTCTAAAGATTTACACTGTTTTCCCAGTGCAAATTCTAATTGACAACCACCAGGAGAATAACAATGCCGAGCAAAGAGAGCTCTGGTTTCTTCCATTCTTCCAAGATCCATCTCAAAGAAGCCCTGGCTTCTTAGTTTCCTGGACCAGTGTTTAGCCTGGTCTTTATTTAGACACAGGCAGAAGCAGATGCATGGGTATCAGAAGTTTATCATTCAAAGTAGTCAAATCTTAAAAATCAAAAAGATTTGTTCTTTCAAACTTCAAACGATAGAAAATTTCATTTAATTCCCAGGCTCAGGATATCGGGTCCCTCCATGCAGAATAAGCATATTACATAAAAATGCAACCATGCCTTTTCCATGGAAAGGGGGGGGGTGTCCCTAAAAAAAATTAAGTGCACGATGATTGAGAGTCTTCAGAAATGGTTGCGTGAGAATATTAAAGGCACAGCTATTCAAGTGGACTCATCGTGGAATAAAAAGTTCAAGTATCAGAGGGAGTGATTTCAATATGAATGTTGGGTGTTGTAGTCACACACAAGAGTCTCTCGTCTACACAGAGGACCAAGTCACATCAAGCAAGTCAGGGAACTGTGAGTGACAAGGTATAGAGAGGGCTGTTCAGACAGGGGACAGACATTACTGGACCCTTTCTCAAAGAAAACTTTGAAGATTTTGTTAGGCTTTCTTCGTGGAACTGTCACAAGATAACAATACAGTTGCAAATGAGTGGTGTTCAGTGGTCACATCACTGCCTTTTGCAGACCAGCTGCCAATGGCTGCCTATGATGGGAAATTAGCATTAAAGAAGAGACTCTGGAGGTTACTGGGCTGACACACAGCCCAAAGAGAAATGCTCAAATAAAGTACAGCACCCAAGACAGCCACATGAACCAAAAGCAAAATAAAACTGCTGTCTGGAAAGAAAAACAGCAAAAGACAAAATATAAAAAACAAACAAACAAAAAAACACTTTCTTACTTCTTCCTGCATCTTCCTCAATCTCCCCCTTCTCCAAAGAGTATCTAGATCCCTAGAGTAAAAATAAACAAAAAACCATGTGTTTCCAGTAGTATATACAGACTAGGAGAAGTGAAACTGGCAGGAGAGGTAGGAGAATAACACAATTCATCCTCCTGTTTTCTAAACAAAAGCAGAAGAAGGAACCAAAGCTGGAAAGCATGGCACCCCAGGCAGGAGCACCAGACCCAGAGTCAGGAGGTCCAAATCCTTAACTATGCTAGTGTCTACCATGAGCTGTTTTGAAAAGTACATTAACTTCGTGACTTTTCTTGTCCTCATCTGAAAAGGAAGGATTCATCTAGATCAGCGGTGGTCACACTGTATTCCTTTGAGTCCTAGGGTTGCCTCTAAGATGACCACAGCAACATGGTGGGTAAAGCAAAGGGAGTGGGGCCCCATGCATGCTCTCAAACCTAAACAGTTCATAGTTGATCCATTTTACATACTGAGGTTTTGAGTCTTTTTAAAAAAAAAATTAAAGATTTATTTATTTATTCATTCATTCATAAAAGACACATGGAGAGAGGCAGAAACATAGGCAGAAGGAGAAGCAGGCTCCCTGCAGGGAGTCTGATGTGGGACTCATCCCAGGACCCCAGATCACGACCTGAGCAGAGGCAGATGTTCATCCACTGAGCCACCCAGGTGCTATCAAGTGTTTTGTTTAAAGAGTTCTATTACCAAGACACTTCACAAGTGAGATGGCGTAAAAGCACTAGACCCACATACCTTGTGATTTTTATCTTGATAATTAGTGGTTTCAATGTGTCTCTTTGCATCACTATTATTAGAATCAATGAATAGATAGTCTCGTTAATATTGATCCTCCAATCTGTGTGTACAATTCTCTTATTCCTAAAGGGTGAGGGAACTGAAGGTAAGACAAGGTTACCAAAATCACAGGGCTCAGTAGCTGACAGGATTCAAACTCAGAAATGTCTGACATTAAAGCGGGTAAGCCCAGTGCTGTCCTTAAAGAATAAACTTCACTGTAAAAAAAAACAACTGGTGACCTCATTATTATTGCAATTCTTTCTCCACAGAACATCAGGTTCTTCATTTGTATTCTCTGAGAGTAAACACTTACCCTGGTGAGATGAAATGAATAGCCACAAGTTCTGCCCAACAAGCAAATCTGTTGGGTACAGGAAAGCCCAAAATGTTGGCAAAGCCTCCAGGGCAATAATGGTTGTTAAGAACTTTCAAAGCAAACAAAACTCCTAGAAGAGAAGAAAGAACATACAGATATCAACAATCCAACTGTGCAGATAATCAACATTTACGAAGAAAACTAACTGAAAGTGAAAATGATTGACTGTATTCAACTTCTTGCTTTGAAACACTCTATTCTTTACAAGTCAACCAGGCTTTTGGTAGAAAGACAATGTTCACGGTAATCGTCCTTTGGATGTTTCTTACCACCAGTTCACACTGACTTTCAGTTGCCAGAAAATACATAACACGTAAAATGGGAATAAAATACATGAAACGGTACTAAATGCCACTGAACTGTTCACTTCAGAATTGCTAATTTTCTGCTATGTGGTTTTTAACTCCATAAAAAAAAATTAGCAGTAACGTGTATTTTTCAAACCTCTATGGAAAGACACGTTGAGGGCAGGGCATGTTTCCTTTCTTCTCCCCACAACTGGCTGCATGAAGATATATCTTAAAGGGAAGGGGGACAGATGGAAGGAGACGTAGAGGGAAGAGTCAAATTTCCTTCTGTTGCAGGACTATTTCCCTCCTCCCCTCACATCTAACTCTTAGAACGCCTAATTTTGGCCCTGATGGCAATTTCAGTTCTGTGAGATATGTATAGAATGACTATCATAGTTTCTGAAACATAGTGAGCATGCCATGGTAGTGTGCGGTGCATATATTTTAATGAAGTTATGGAGAAGCTTACTCATCGTTTTAGGGCATTCCTTATCACAGATACACACCAGTGGGTCTTTCTACCAGGAAGGAGCCAGTGTGTATTTTTAGAACTAGATCTCCTGCAAAGCTACTTTGGAGCAGACCCTGGGGCAAATTGTCCAAGAGTGAATGATGCAGCATTAATGTAGGTCTATGCAAGGTCTATGTCCTTCCTGTGCTCCAATCAACCGTCTCTCCAAAATCCAAGCCCAGCAATCCTGAGCCCTCACCAAATGGAGACCCTCGCTTCATAAAATGATGACAGCCACACCTCCCTGTCTTCACCCAGGCTACCTTAAAAATTTGTCTGCCCTACCTGAGAAACCTACAGCACAGTTCCTTCTGAAGCCAGGTTCATCCGTAAATTCTGCAAGAGCAAATTCCAAGAACAGGTACACCACTCCGGTGAGTAGGGAGAAGGTGACGATGATGTAGGCAAACCATCTACTTCCTAGCCTTCTTTCCAGATTTATTCCCTTCCAGAGCATGGATGCCATATTGAAATACAAATGCCAATCATCTGCATGGTGAAGAGGAGAAAGCAGTAAGCGCTGCCAGTCTTTTTGCTGGTAACACTTCTCCACGCTAAGACAGGACTCATACAGTGGTTTCAGAGGATTCAAGAAGAACCAGACGTTGAGAGCCAAAGTTGCTAGGGTGACAGGTGGAATATTGTTGATTCCAACATGGAAGATTTGAGAGAGAAGCAGAATAAGTCCAGCATTAATTCCCCTTGATCTCCGCTGCATGGTTTATCAACCCAGTGATGGGAAAATGTGGTCAGGCTTTAGGAATCTGGAAAGATGTACCGGCAGCTGAACCTAAAACATAAAATAAAATGCACACGAAAATTTATCAATTAAGACTTAATACACCATAAGGCCTACTCATTTAAAGATGAGCTTACATTATACACATATCCCACCTCCCATCTGACAGAAACATTGATTTGCAGTGTCTTCCAGGGTAACATCAGGATGCTGGCTGCCATCCTTCCTCATTTTACGTTCTAAAATAAAAATTTTCTCCCAAATCCCAAATGGATCAGTTAATGGATGGGTATACTTTCTCTGACAAATATGCCATGTAAAAAAAAAAAAAAATGTCTTCTTTAGAAATAAACTTATAACATCATTAAAAACCTACAAAGATAGTGTGTAAATATTTAATAATGATTTCTATTCAGAACACTGAACAGGATTCTTTACCATCTTAATTTTTTTTAAAGAAATATTCAATATTGATATATTCAATAGAGTCTGCCCCAAGTTTTTATTTTTATTTTTTTTTAAATTTTTATTTATTTATGATAGTCACAGAGAGAGAAAGAGAGAGAGGCAGAGACATAGGCAGAGGGAGAAGCAGGCTCCATGCACCGGGAGCCCGATGTGGGATTCGATCCCGGGTCTCCAGGATCGTGCCCTGGGCCAAAGGCTGGCGCCAAACCGCTGCGCCACCCAGGGATCCCTGCCCCAAGTTTTTAAACTTCCACAGGCATGTTTTGAAATGCAAGCATTTAGTATCTTTTACTTCATATTGTCAGTTACCGACTGCTAGTATGCTTTATCTTCACAAAAACTTCCACCTTTCAAAGTTACTTGGTATATGCCAAATCCTAGATTGCACAGTCACCGTGTTCAAGGAGCTCATTTCCTACTAAGAAGTAAGCTAACAACTGTCGCATTATGTTCTAAACACAGTGACAGAGGAAGCCCAAATCCGAAGTACACAGGTCAGCCTGGGATGGTGACAGGACTGTGGTCTTACAGAGTAAAATGGAGTTAGCAACAAGAAGGAGAGTCAGGTTCAGCGGTACTTCTCCGTCCCCTGAACCTGGGCTGTCCTTGTGACTTGTTTGGCTGACAGAATGTAGACGAGAGGACACTATTTCTGAATGTGGGCCTTGAGATGATCCACAAGTTTCAGCTCTCTCTCAAGACCCTCTCAAGCAACCAAGTGGACAAGTCTGGGCTAGCCTACTGGATGAGGAAAGACACAAGCTCTAGTCACCCTAATGGCCCTGGTCACTAGCTAGCTAATGCCTCAGAAGCAAAGCTGTCTAGCTGACCAGCTGCTGACCAAAGACACAGAAGTGAGTTCAGCAGAGCCAAGCCTAATTTGCTGACCCACAGAATAGTGAGCCAAATAAATCACATTTTAGCTTTGCCAAGCATTAGAGTGGTATGTTATGCAGCAATTACTAACTACCATAGAAAGTATTTGATTTGGTGAGGGCCTCGGTTATGCTTATGGGGAAGAAGCTAGTGAAGAAAGAGACATAGACTAAAGATGCAAAAGATACACAAAAAGAATTAAGTCCTTGAGAAAAAGTCCTAGGAGAAAAGCCTTGTCCAGTCCATTGCAACAAGAAGGAAGAAGAAAAATATGAGTAGGCATATTTTTAGGGTAGAGGAGGGCCAGGATGCTGGAAAAAGTTCTTATCTAGTGGTTTTTATCTGTGGAGCTTCTTGGGCTCCCAACCAAATATGAGACTTACTCTGATATCCTAAAGATTCTCATTCAGACAGGGCACTAGAAGGTACATGGGCTTTGGGGTAAAGATGGGTATAGTTTTTTAGAAGTTGTGACTTAAGGCAAATTACTTAAACTCTCTGAACTTCACTTTCTTCTCTTTAAATTAGAAATGATAATACCTGCTTCCCAATATTACTGTAACATGTCTGAAATGAAGCAGATGTTGAATATACAGTCACTACATTTTTTCATTACTCTAAGGTAATCTCACCTATGCAAAAAAGCTTTGCAAATGGTAGCATCCTAATAAGGCTCAAATATACTCCCCCCCCCCTCCATCCTCTTCCCTTATGCATTCTAAGAAATCACCAAGAAAAAATTATACATTAATGTGTGCATGTTTATATGTATATGCCCCTCTTATAGCACAAATCTAGTTTTTTTTTTTAATTATTCCTATGGGCTTATTATTATTATAGTTCTGTCCCAGTCTCATGAACTAGAGAACTTAATAAAATTTCAACTGAAGAGCTCAGAGCTCCTGGGTTATTTTAGAGAAATGGTCTATATTTTTCACACTGACATTCAAATCGATTTTCAAATCTCCAATTATTGTGTCTTTTTTGCAATATTACTTAAATAAGTTTAGTATCAAACCTCAATACCTATAACAGGAGCAATGGAAAAATACAACCTTGATCATTAAATAATCAGCTTACAAGTAATCACAAAATGAACCCTTCAATCTCAGGATAAATAGTGTCCTATGATGCCAGTGTATGCGCAGCACAAAGTCAAAACCATTTATGTCTTTGCTTAAGAAAAATCCCTACCCCTTTCACCCAGACTGGAATCAGCAGTGACAAAGAGTATATACTTGAAACTTCCCCAGTTTTATCTCACACTGCACCTAGGCTCATTATGCATTTGCTTGACTTCTGCTCAAGCCCAATGGTTCCTCTCCATGGGCATCCCTTCTCACCACCACCTCCTGCTGGTGAAGGCCTCTGCCTCCCTGGGACACTCTGCTTTCCTGCACCACCTCTCCTCTGCTTTTCACTTTTCCTCTGACCCTACTTGCTTCTGCATGAATTCATGGAATTCCACTCTCCTGCATGGTTTCTAGAATTCTTTTTGTCATTTTGATTCCCAAATTACTATTTTGCAGCCTTGATTTTGCAGTAGGTCTCAGAGGGTATAATCTTATAGGAAGAATACAGCCTGTCTGATCTCTTGGTTTCCGAAAACTGAATTAGCCCTCCTTCTCACAAAATGTCTACTTAGCCATTCCTTAGGTCACTCATTTACTTCATAAATATCAAGTGCCAAACGCATGCCAGTCTCCATGCCAGACAGTAGAGGTATAGAAAAGAACAAAACCCTTATAATCTCAGCCCCTAAATAGCCCATTTCTATTTGCTGAAAAATAGAAAAATACTGGCTGTAGAAAATCAAAGGATGAATAGAAAGATGTGGTTCATATTTGCAACAAATGTATACGTAATGGGAAGGCAGATATAACCAAAGCCAAAGTGAGAAGTACAGACCATACATTGGGTTCCATGTTTACAAATAGAGGCCACTCCAGTACCAGTGTGGGGAGAACATTAAGTCTGGGGTTTTAAGTATCAAAGATAAATGGGCATATTTCATACCATTTCACTTTCCTTCCAAATAAAGCTAACAAGTCAGCCTTCAAAAGTGACGGATGCGGCCTCTAACAAGGTAACAGAAAATGCATGTGGTCTACAAGAAGACCAAATCTGTAACTTGACCACATGGGCCAGGTAGGCATAGTTCAAAGAATACCAAGGAGAAGAGATTACAATAAGTGAGCACTGATGATAAATGAATGTTGTTTTGTCCTGTTCATCAATATATAAAAATTTTCAGACTGCTGAGCCAGAAGAGAGACCACAGAGGCATGATCAGTTACAGCAACTCATCTATAAGCTGGAAACCAGTTCAGTGTGTTTGGTTTGGAAGTGATTTATTTATTCTAACTTGTACCCAGACCATAAAGCAGTTACCACAGCCCAAGGAAGAGCAGGCTAGTCTCTGCCCTCCCTCACCTCATAAACACATCCTTCCCCTCACCTTCAACCTGCCCCAAGCTGAATGCTGGACCATCCCCTTCCAATTCTGCTCCTTTTCATTTTTTTTTTTAAGATTGTATTTATTTATTTGACAGAGAGAGAGCACAAGCAGGGAGAGCAGTAGAAGGAACAGCAGAGGGAGACGCACTCTCCCCACTGAGCAGGGAGCCCCATGTGGGGCTCGATCTAGGACTCTGGGATCATGACCTGAGCTGAAGGCAGACGCTCAACCGAATGAGACACCTAGGTGCCCCAATTCTGCTCCTCCTCCATGTTCTACATCTCAGGACACAGAACCTCCCGCTCCCCTGCTGTTCAAGGCAGAGATGCAGGAAACATTTTTGACTGGCCCGTTGTCCTCACAATCCTACTATCCCCACATCCCATCCACCACACTCTGTTAATTCTTCCACAGTTTGTGTAGATCTATTTCTTTCTAGCTCTTGAGCTCTACTCCAGTCTAAGCCACAATCACACCTTGCCTGGATTATAACCAACCCCCTAACTGGATTCTCTGCTTATCCTCTTAAGCCTACCTGCCATTTTCCACCACCACCCAGAGCAATCTCTGTAAAACTGAAATCAGATTCACCTGCCGTAAGCCTGCAATGGCTTATCATTACGGTCAGTATAAAGTCCAAACTCTTTACAATAACCACACACTTGTGACAACCACTACCCTGCCCAGCTACTCTGGTCTCGGGTGCAGTCATGGTGTTCCCACCACAAGGCACTCCCACCCCGGGAGCTCTGTGACTGCAGCGGAAATGGCCAAGGGCAGAATTACCTTATCTGTTTTGTTCACCTCTAATTACCCAGAGCCCAGTACAATGAATGGCATAGAGTCAGCGCTGTATAAGTTATTTGCCCAAGGACTCAAGATTAGTATTTTTTAATATACCCACATTATATAATAAGTAACACGAACTGAAAAGACCATGATCTGTTCATCTTTTAAGTATTTTTCCTGCATTTGGAGCGACCTTCCCCATAGCACTATGCATATTATTCCATTTACATTTTGGTTCCAGAACAGTGTTTATAACATTTATCTCAACTTTACAGAAATAAACCTCTCATCCATGTAAAATGTATTAATAGGTTGTTTTGCCAGAACTATTTGATTAAAAAATGGCATTTTAATTATGTAGTAATACACACTAGACAGCACTATATCAAAGTTGTGACAGAAATGGAAGACTTCCTGAAATACTGAAAGGAAAATTAGCCGTATTTACTTTTAATGAGAA